AGAAACACACAGGGGGAAAATCAATGTTAGACAATATCTAGACAAAATAGAAATTCAACCTGCTAACACTAGAAATATCTTAAGCCCGCATGGGTCATTTTACTGACCTCAGTGAGACTCGAACTGCCAAACTGCTGGCAGCCGGTGATCAGCAGAAGTAGTACTGCATTCTAACCACTGCACCATCATGGCTCTTTTCTCTTTACCTAGAGGAGGGGTGTCAAACTGGCAGCCCATGGGCTGGATGTGTCATGTGCAAGCCATGCCCACCCCAGCTCCATCACAAACCATCATGAAACATCATGTGACAGCAATGTGACACCACGAGTTTGACACTGGTGACCCTAGAGCTTATAGGTATCAATTACTTTTCACCAATGAAACCTGAATGTATTCTGGAGAATAAAATCACACATAGAATGTAAATGTTAAGTTTGGAGAATAATGGAGACCAGACATCTGACCAGTGACTTCAACTCTTTAATAATAGTAATAGAACAGAACAGAGCAAGGCTATGGGCAGCAGCAACCCTTTTATAGGGTTAGCTGCTACCTTATTAACCAATGACATGTGCAACAAGTTCAAACTAATAACCAATGAGAAGTGTCAAAATAGTGGCCAATCAGGGACTAGTTATGGACCAATCCCTAGTTGTTGTATAAGGACCAATCAGGTGTGCAGGTTTCCAAACCCTGATTTGCATTTATGCTAGTAACTTTTATTGATTCACAACAGTAAGTTTCTATGAACAAAAATGCAAACATTGTTTGAATGATGAAATTTCAAAATGATACAAGAAATTAGTTACTCAATTCAGAGTTTCACAATAATTCTTGGACAGCCAGTTCCAAAAATGGGTCCCTTTCCAACCTATCATGGTTTCACTGATTTTCATCCAACTGAACAACAGATGCCTTGAAGACAGCAATTCAGTTTGCTATGTGATAATCCATAGAATCAGGGGTTTTTTTTTTTGGCATTTCTTTCTCTATTAGGCAGGTTTTACCCATTTTCATTTTCTTTCAATTTTGGCTTAGTTTCAGGTGGAAGGTGCCATGCCACTGCTAAAAAAACCCTGCTGAATATTTTCCTCACACATTTCTCCCGAAGTAAGTAAGTAAGGTTTATAACTAAGTTGAGAAGTTAATATCTACAAAATGTTGTAGCAAAACAACCATTTTATGTATCCATAAAATGCAAAGAAATCAAAGGAAGAAAACTTTATATTCAAGTGATTATGAAGAAACATGTCAATTAATTGAAAAAAAGGAATTATGCTGAAATAATATACAAACATCCATTTTCAAATAAATATGGATAAGTATATACATTACAAAATATCCAAAATATTGCAGAAAAATAGGGATACTTCAGTGGGCAAATGGCTGGTCCTTGGGGCAAAATGCAGCCACATGGTTTGATAGATATTCATAAACCAAAATGTGGTGTATAAAGTGAGGCAAGTATCAAATTATAAGGCAGAGAAAACATACATAATAAGCAATTGGAAAAAGATTCTCTTTGCACAAGAATGTCCTATCTCAGTGGCCCCCAACCTTTTTTGAACCAAGGACCGGTTTCACGATTATTTATTCTTCCACAGACCGGTACCTGAGTAACGCGAGACTCCACCGCCATCGGGACGGCTCTTCGTTTGAAGCCCCCCCCCTTCGACAAAACTAAGGCACGAGCACCAAAACGCTGCTTTCCAACTGAAAACCCGGAAGCACTTTCCAACCGAAAACCCGGAAGCAACTGAAAACCCGGAAGCGCCGTCGAAACAAGATGGTGGCGCCCAAGCTTTGCGGCCTGGTAAAAAATAATCCACGGACCGGTACCGGTCTGGTGACTGGTGGTTGGGGACCCCTGTCCTATCTGACTGTCCCAGTTTTTCTACCCTTTGTAGCTTCCCATACTCATCACGTGCCATTGTGGGGGGAACATTTTTTTTTGATACTACTATTTATCTGTGTGTATAGTAAAGAAGTCAGGAAATCCCTTTAGATGAGCTGAGCTATATTAAACTATCTTTGAAACTGCCACAATATAAATAAATCACACTTCTGCATTGCCAACATGATGCCATCAGGAAGGAATTAAAAAAAAGGTAATCAGATCCTGTTCAGAAATCATTCTTTTTCTCAGAACCAGAACATTTTAATGCTAAAAACAAATAGATCAAAAATCTTTTTAAATAAAGGGATTATTCCAAATCCTTGGGATAAGAAGCTCTTCATTTAGGTTTTATATTTTAAAGCAAAGCTATTGAACTGAACTTTCTGGAACAGAGGAATGAGTGAAGAAAATCACTCTACTTTTTTGGAAGATAAAAAGGGACAGAGAAATTAAATCTTGCTTTTTGATCAGATTTTTGTATTATGATTATCATTATTACCATTGCTGGAATACTATATGTAACATCCTTGATTTATTTATTTATTTATTTATTTATTTATTTATTTATTTATTTATTTATTTGATTTGCCAATTGTTTACAAGATAATAAGTATAAATGTATACATAGTTGTGAATACATGAAATGGGTACATATAAGAAAAATAAAAGAATAAGAGAAACAATAGGACAGGGACGGTAGGCACGTTGGTGCGCTTATGCACGCCCCCTACAGGCCTCTTAGGAAAGGGGTGAGGTCAATAGTAGACAGTCTAAGGTTAAAGTTTTTGGGGTTTGGGGAAGAAACTACAGAGTCGGGTAGAGTATTCCAGACATTGACCACTCTATTGCTGAAGTCGTATTTCCTGCAATCAAGTTTGGTGCGGTTTACTTTGAGTTTGTATCTATTGTGTGCTCTTGTGTTGTTATGGTTGAAGCTGAAGTATTCATTGACAGGTAGGACATTGCAATGTATGATTTTATATACCATGCTTAAGTCAGACCGAAGACGGAGTAATTCAAGGTTTTCTAGTTCTAGAATTTCAAGTCTGGTGGCATAAGGTATTCTACAACGAGTAGAGGAGTGGAGAACTCTTCTTGTGAAATATTTCTGGACTTTCTCAATTGTGCTAATCAATTAATCATCAAAGCATTAATCATCAAAGCATTTGAAAAAGTAACTCATAACTCAAATTAATCGGTTAACAAGCTAATTAAGTGTGAACTTGATGACATCCCAATTAAGCAGGTATATAACTGGCTTAGAAAGCATGCTCTAAGCATGTTCATCAATGGTTCATTATCAAACTGTAGCAAGATATCGAGTGGGATGCCAAAATATTTTTGGCCCTGTATTCTTTAGCATTTTTATTAATGTCTTGGATGAAGACTGGTGCTGACATAAAATTGGGTATCATTACCAGAAACTGAAACAACCATTTTGTTAGATTATTGAACGAGATTGAAAATAATAGTATCAAGTTTAATAGAAACAAATGCAAAAAATTTCCCTAATAAAACATAGATATAATGCATAAGGATAATATGGGGAATATTGGGCTTTGAAATAGTACTTAGCAATAATGAAAAAATACTGATGTATTTGATTATTGGTGTTGCAGGAGATTCTTGGGGAAACAGATCAACCCAGAGTTCTTATTCGAGGCAATGATCATACTTCAATCACATTATGCAAAGATCTAGTTTTCTGAAGAAGTTTAAAATACCAACAAAGCTGGAAGGAAAGCAAACAAGAGGACAAAGGTGAAGAGAACCAATTTTAGCAGTGGTGGGTGCACCATAAAATGCACTGTTATATAATGTGTGTGAAATTTTTCCTTTAGACACCCAGTCTTATAAATTTCTAAATTTCTTTTTGTCCCCATCTCAATTCAATCTGAGAGAAGGCAGAGTTCTGATTGAAACATATGTCTGTCTGTCCACCCACCCACACACCCACACACCTGTCCATTTATCCATCCATAAATGACCTTATTTTTTCTGTGTTTGTATTTTTCCAAAGCAGTGAAATAACTTCAACAATGAAAGTAATATTGTCCACAATATAAAGTGACATATAGCTCATTCTAAGGGCTGATTCATACATGCATCTCTATTATTGTATAATTTGCTGCCTAATGCATGGACAGCCTCCAGTAAACTGCTTTGCATTTGTTATGTCTCTGATGTTTGATTTGTGAGGCTCATTTTGCATATCATTACTTCATGCTGCAGTTATTAACTGATTAGCAAGCAAGTGTGTGATTTCTTCTTAACAGCTGGAATCTGACAGGTAAAGAATTAGATAACATTGTGGTCCTACAATGATCTCTTTGTTTTCTGCTTTGGACTTTTATCAGCCTTTGCAGGAAAACTAGTATCTCATCATATCACTTTTCTTACCAAAACACTCTAGAAATGCAAGAAGTTACTTCTTTCATTTCTAGAGTGTTCTGGTAAGAAAAGTGATATGATTATTTTTCTGGTCCTTCTGTTATTCTAAAATAACAGAAGGACCAGAAACATAATTTCATCATGGGCATCCTCAGGAAGGAGCAATGAGCTGGGACAAATAATGACATATATGTCATGACACAATGCAAGAATATAAAGGGCAGAGTTTGCATCATGATGTCAACAGCACATATTTAGACCTTTGGGCAAAACCTTGGCTTATTGCAGACACCCTCAATCTCAACTCTTCTGATATAGGAAAAACTGTGCCCTTGTTGGTGGCCATACATCATTCACTTAAAGAAGCTAAATCCAGGAGATTTTGTTTACCTGCTCCTCATAGAATCTGTTCCATTTTTGGAGAGTTTGTGGCATCATCTGTAATGTTTACTCAAATTCTTCTAAATTGGATCTCTTGTCTAGCACCCTGAAAAATGTGAAATACATTTTAAAACTTTTCTTGCTATACAGGTCATAGTGGATTTCTGCATTAAACCAAGGGCTGGATTAGATCTCCTCTTTCAGGATTAGATCTCCTCCTATTCAAATGTCCGAAGATAATAATATTATAATTCCTTCCCTAAGCTAAACATTGTCACAGTATATTCATGAACTGGAATAGAGCATGGTAACAAGGTCAGCCAATGAATAGGCATAGCAACTAAATCAGCCAATGAGGACAGTTTCAAAACTGAAATTAGAAGTAGCTTAGGCATGGCAGCTATGTTAAGCTCTGCAGCTCTGAAACTATGTTAAGCTCTGAGTCTGTCTATTGAAAATGAAACTGCTTCTCTCCTCTGCTGTGTATAATGCTTGCCTGCTGAACTAAAGTGAAACTGATGTCTGTTTCTGAGCTGCTCGTGTGCTACTGAAGTTACTTGCAACATGTTTCTGTTTGAGTTTGCTCTATGTTGGAGAAATCTACAACTGGTTTGTAAAATTTACTTATTATGTTTATAAAGATGTTAAAAGAAGCACCAGCCATCTGTGTTCGTTTTTCTGGCGCTGAATTAATGCTGCCCAACTTTGAATAAACATGTCTAATTATTTCTCTTTTTCCTTCCAAAATAATCCCTAAGCCGTTCACCATCTTTATTACTCACTTCTGAGCAATAAAGAAATGAAGTAAAGAAACTTTTAATGATGGAAGAATTTTAGAAATGTAATTAAATTACACAATTTTCTTGTTTCATTTTAAATGTTTATCTTTTCCATGGACTCTGCTCAAAATAGATTTTTAAAAATCTGAAATCTGCCTCTCACTAACTTCATTGATCTAATGATGTAGAAAGTACCAGAAGGAAACTTTTAGGATCAATTTGGATATAAATCTTTAAAGAAAAAAAATAGAAAGCTTATACTGCATGTCCAGTACTTTTGGTAGATATTATTGACGTATATTGAAAGTTATTTCCATCATAATTTGAATAGTGAAATTCTCACTGTCCTTTTTATTGTTTTTGGCTATAGCCAAGAGGAAAATCACCTTTAAGGATTCTAAAATGATTGTCACTGCTGAACAAGAGTGAGAAGGCCAATTCAATCTAATTGTAACAGATCAAGAATTTCCTGTTAATTCTAATGGACCCCTTCTGCCCAATAACCTCAATGTGCTGATCTAATTGTGGTAAAAAATGTAGGTGAAACTTAAAGTGATCCTAGGTGTGAACAGTGCAGTGTACCTTTCATTCTATGTTTATTATTCAAATTTATACAAACAATTATGTTAAAATTGTTAAAATTAATGGGTAACATGACTTATCTGTTCTGGGTAGGATCAATTTCAAATCTAGCTTTTCATTTGGTTATAGATCTCCAGGAGTCTTGGGCACATAAAGGTAAATGCACAGAGTATATGCAAAAACTTTACAATAACAACACTGTCTGCTTGCTTTCTGATTAATATCCCACTGAATAAGAACATGCATTAAAAAGCCAACTGGCGACTTTTTTGTTGTGTTTTGTTAACTATATTTTTCATCTCATGGAGTAATATAATGTAATCTTGTTCTAATTATCTTCAAAAGGGGCACCAACAATCCAGAATTCATTACTTAGCATGGAAATAAACACAATTTTACTTAACCAAACACAATCGTTGTCCATAAACACTTAGTAAAAATAAGACAAAACTTTAAAATATTGTTAAACAATTAGACTAGCATAAACATATCAGCATTAAAGAGTTACATTGTTCGATGTTGCCTTGTTTAATTTGAAACAAAATGAGCTTTTTGTCAACAACCATCATTATGTTTGTATAAAAGGACTTCTAACATTTCCAAACATAATGTAGTACCTATAGGATAGGCTGCTTTAAACAGAAGTGATCATAATGCATGATGTCACATGACTGCATTGCTTAAGCAATGGCAGTCCCAGCAGTCCCCATTGACATCGTGATTGCTGGCAGACTCCATTGCCTTTGTTAACAGAATACCACTGAATGTTAGGCAAGGATCTAACCTGTTCCAAGCCATTTTGTCCTTGGTCCCTCTCAGCTCTGCGCCTTTGTAAGATAACGGACCGTCTCCGCTTCGACCCCACCTCCAACTCACTCATCTCCACTATCTCTGCCTTTTTGACCACTCTGTACAACAGCACTTCTCAGGGTGGAGGCCGATGTTCAGGTGCTTACCTAGTGCTTGGATGCTTTGGAGGTCTAGATGAAGAAGAACTGGCTTAGACTCAACCCTGGCAAGATGAGTGGCTTTGAGTCAGGTGTGTTCTTATCCTTAACTGTTGAAGGGGTAGCAAACACCCAGACCTGAGTTGGTGCACAATTTGGTGGCTTTGTCAACTGTCAACTTTGGGTTGGATTACGGGAACTTTGCTGTGCATGAGACTACCTTTGAAGACCACCTAGAAAGTTATAAATAATTTAGCATGCAATCTTGCATGCATGATTGTGAAATTTTGTCCTTTGACCTTACACTGATATTGTGTGACTTCCAGTTGCTTTCTAGTTGCAATTCAAGGTGCTGTTTGTCTCCTTTAAAGCCTAAATGGCATGGGGACAAGTTATTTGGGGGGACTGCCTTTCCCTGAGAATATCTGCCTGGCCTATCAGGTTAGGCAGGCTGGGTGTGGTCCATATTGCCATCTAGTGGGATCTTGGAAATATGCATTTTCTGTGGCTGCCTTAATCATTTGGAACAATCTCTACTTTGACATTTGGAGTGCTTCACCTCTATCAGTCTTCTGGAAAGCTGCAAAGACTTGGTGTTTGTCCAGGCATTGCGCTAAGATAGAAATGAGCCCAATAAATGTTAATTTAAATATGGAATTAGCGGGATGTTGTTCGGTGGTTTGGATAATGTTGTTATATTTCTTCATATTTCTTTTCTTTTTATTAAGTATCATTGAGGGATGTCTAGGATTACTACAGTATATATAAAATAAGGGGCATACAAATTTCTAAACAAATAAACACATGCACAGTGCAGAAACGTCCATATATTTCTTTCTCTCGCAGTTATTTCCCAGCAATAAGAGTAGTTCAAGAATAGGCCAATTTTTCAGGTTTGAGAGAGGGAAATCTTATGATCTCTCAGCAACAGTGCCATCTTTTAAAGATTTTCTTAATTATAAAAATATATATGTGTGCTTACATCTTTTGCTTAAGAAGATTTAGTTTTAATTTCTATGAGCACAAGCATTTCACCACCAGTGAATTCCCATTTACTAAGGTATTGCTCCAAATTATAGCAAAACATTAAAGACTGAATAAAGGAATATTATTCTATATTGTACAAAAGGTATTTTGTCTTTAGTTTATGAAAGACAGCAGGAATTTGGAGTAGGTAATTGTGCAAGCAAGCACTGGGAAGACTAGCTAGAATCAAAGTTAAATTCAGTAATCCATTCAATATGGTAACTGGTACTGTGCCACCAAAAAGAGTTGAGAGAACATTCTGTTGCAGGGCTTTAACCTTGTTTTGTTACTGAATCCATAAAAGGGATTAATAGTAAGGCTATGGTTAATATATTAAAGAAATTGAGTTTGTTGACAACAGAACATATATGATAGCAATCGTAGCTTAGAACATTTTGCAAAATACAGAATTTCAAGGCATTGCCCACATTTAATAGACTTGGATAGAGAGAACATAAACATAAACCTATTGAGATAACAGGGTTAGAAGGTACACCCTACAGCTCTCCAAGGCTAGATTCACCACTTCTGCATGTGCATACGTTAATCGCACAAAACAAAATTACACAGCAGAGATGTTATTACTTCAACACTGTTTTCTATTTTTTCACATGCATAATATTTAGATCTTTCGTATTTTGCTTCACAGTTGGGAAATGTTTATATTTTATTCCTCATTCCTGACTCAATAAGTGGCTGAAATGTTCTAATTATTGTGTAGCAGAAAATAAGCAATATAATACAGTGAGGGAGTAAATGGATTTTGATTAGAAATCTGAGACTATGTTTTCTTAGCAGTAAAGATTTTGCAAGATTTGGTGGCTACCTGAAGAAAAACTAGGCAATTTCCTTGGTTCAGAAATGGCCTGTCAGTGTCCAGGATAGTTTTCAACTCCCCAATGTACAACTCCCCTAGAGACCAGGACTCTCCCTGTGGTCCTCCAGTCCTCTTCCTACTTAGCTTCTGAGATCAGACAAGCAGATGACACCTGCATTCAATTGACTCAACTCTTTGTAATTAACCAAAAGGTGCTTTTTCAAGAGGCAATTGAACTTTCTGATTTTTCTTTGCAGACATTTAGCTTCTCATCCAAGAATGAGAAGTGAAATGTCTTCAAGAGAAAAACCAGAAAGTCCAGTTACTTCTTGAAAATGCACCTTTGGGATAGCCATGACCTGGATGACTGAGAATCTCCATAGACATCCTGATAATTAAATGGTTAAGTCTATAAAACTATGAGTCTATGGAGACCAGTTTGGTCTAGTGGTTAAGGCACCAGGATAGATACCAGAAGACTGTGAGTCTTGCCTTAGGCATGAAAGCCAGCTGAGTCTCTCTCTCTCTTAGCCCAATTCGCAACACAAGTTTATTGTTTATTTATTTATTTATTTGAATTTGTCAAACAAAAATGAGAACAAGAATAAGAGAATAAAAATACAATGACAGGGACAATAGGCACTGCCCCCTCTACTGAACACTTAAGTATGAAGTAAGGTCCACAGAAGTCAATTTGTCACTGAAACTGAAAATTTGTAGCTGTGACAACTGAATCAGAAAGGGCATTGCAGATTTTGACAACTCTATTACAGAATTCATATTTTTTACAGTCAAGTTTAGAACGATGTACATTGAGTTTAAAACAGTTGTTTGCACGCGTGTTAAATTTATTGTTGTGGGGAAAATAGAAAGAGGAAGAAGTATTACGTATGTTTGCTGCCTTGAGTTATTTAAAAATCTAAATAAGTCTAAATTGTTTTTTTAGTAACCGTACTAAACAGGGGATTTCCCATTGCCTTCCCTCCTTCCTTTATATCAGTGGTTGCCAACTGGTGGGCTGCGGCCCACTGGTGGTCCATGAGAAAATTTTGGTGGTCTCCAGAGAAATGTCACCCCCAGAACACCCCCCAAAGCAATTAATCCAGGCTGCACAGAAACACAAGACTGCGCTGCCCACATGGCCCGCGGGAACCCTCCCTGCCCACTCACTCCTTACCCGGCAAACTTGCC